TCCCTACTCATTCTTTTGTCTGTTACACGATGTGTTAACTGTAAATTGCAAAGGTTTTTCACACAGCTAATAGAATATCAGCTTGATCAAAATCATTAAGTTTTTGGGTAGGAAGAAGCGAGGCGACAGTTAAAAACACACTAAAATTGCACAGAAAATCGAGACTCTATCAACTTTCATTGCTATTTTTCTATGTAACGTAGCCATCTGGACTTCAAATACCAACAATAAAACACTAGGAATGCTATTCGTCTCCATTTTAAAATTCATCCAAACTCGTTGACAAGCCAAACTAGTCAAAACATTGGCTTGCCTGATATCTTTATTTCTATTTTGATTTTCTTTTGTTTCGATTTTCAAAGAAAATAGATGCAGCTTTGATCTCATGCAAAAACAGTAGTACAATTTTACATACATGAATCCACACATACAGAAATTTTATTCATATAAAAAGCAAACTGGAATAATAGCAAAACCGGACAAACAATATTTTTCATAACCTAGGCCAAATTTAACTTAATTTAAAATGTATTTTACTAATAATCATGTAAAAAAATTTGTACATGAATTATTTTAAAATAACAATATCTTATTACTCATTGTATAACTAGTTCACTAATTTGTAATAACGTCAGTTGTTTGTAATCAAAATTTTAACATAATATTGCGTAGGACAACTAATATGGCAAAAGATTTTTTAACTTGATTTAAAGCAACAGTTAAAAAAATGAACGTTACATGCATACTTTTGCTTCAGTTAACTTAATACTATTAATAATAAATTATAATTTATATTAATCATAAATTATTTGGGATTACCATTAAATAATTATTTCAAAATGTCATAGCAATATTTTGATAGGAACCAGCACAAATTTCCACATAAAAACTAGGACGATGACGACAACAACAACAACAAAGCCTTAATCCCACTAAGTGAGGTCGGCTACAAGAATCCTTTTTCTCCATTGCGTCCTATTTACAATAAATTAGAAAAATTAATATTTTATTGCAAGAATATCAAAAACTCAAGATAAATACAAAGATAAACACTTACAATTCAAGAGACAGATAATCTCTCTCAATTCCTACAATTCGAGAGGTGGGAAATCTCTCCCAAACCCTATCCCTACGATACAAGACCCAATCTTATGCATAACCCTAACCCTAAACATATTAGCTCTATTTATACTAAACGATAATAAATGACAAAATACTAAATTACCCTTAGGCGAACAATAGACAAAATTGCCTTAGGCTCACACAAGACAAAATTGTCTTAGGCTATGAACCGGAGTAACAACACTCCCCTAGCAAAAAACAATTATTTTTAGGCTAGGTACCAACGTAACAATACTCCTCTCCCCAAAAGAAATTGTCCTTAAAGTGGGAAAAAATTAGGGTTTTCTCATCCTCCACCACAGCTATCTCTGTTTCTTCATCATCTGCCTCCTTTCATACACAGTGAAAACCTGTAATGTGTGATCATTGCAACGGTGTCCTGAGAAAGCTTCTCATCACACCGAAGACATAACACCATGACTCGCTTCTCTTGAATCTCTGTCTCTGTAAGACATTTGAGTGTCGCCCCCGATCTGTAAGACATAACCCCTAATTATTTTTTCCGTCTTTTTTGATCTATTCATATTATGTAATGCCTCTGGGAATTGTATATATATACATTCCATCTTGGACGGAAAAGAGAATGAAAATTTTTTAGAGTTTTTCTCATTATTTATTTTCCGCATGGTATCAGAGCGAGATTAGGATGTTCTTTCCAACATTATTTCTTATTCTCTAAGGTTATGGCTTCCGCTTCCAACATTTATTCTTAATCTCTAAGGTTAGGGTTTTCGATTCCACCCTTATCCTTTTATTGATTCTCCTTTTCATGAGGTTTGGGTTCTTTGACTTCCCTTAAAATAATCAATCATGATTAATGATGAAAGTCATATCAAAAGAGAACTCTAGGCATTTCTGCATCTTATCGCCTGAAAGGAAAAAATCATCTTAAATGGTCCCAAATTATGAAGATTTTTCTAAAGGGCAAGGGAAAGATCCAACACCTTGTGGATCTACCTCTAGAGCCCAAAGACCTAAAGGTTTTTACTTTGGTAATAAAAACTAATTCCATGATCATGTTATGGTTGTCGAACAATATGCTACTAGAGATCAATGGATATTTTATGTTTCTCTCCACCCCAAAAGAGGGTTGAGATGCATTTAAACAAACCTATTCAAAAGTCAAAAATGTTTCACTCATCAATAAAAATAAGACAGCTTACCACTACAAAACAAGGCAACTTTTCTGTCATTGAATATTTTAACGTCATTAAGGTTTATTGGTTAAAAAGTTAAACTACTATCAAGATCTCAAGATGTCTTTCTGTGAGGATGTTGCGATCCTTACAAAATTCATCAAGCGAGAAACGATCTTTGAATTTCGACATGACTCAACCATGAGTTTGACTAAATTCAAATTCAAGTCTTAAGTAGAGAAAACCTCCCTTTTCTGAATGAAGTCTCCTCTCTTGTTTGAGCTGAATAAAGGGTGGTGATGGTCAATATTCCAACATTCGAGATATCTGCCATGACAATTTTTGAATCCCAACTTATGGGACTTTCTGTCATAGAATATTCTCTATAAGAATGACAATTTTCTGCCTTCAAAGGAAATCTCTTGCAATAACTGCAAAAAGAAAGGACACACCATGGAAAAATGCTAGAAACTTCATAGAAAATCTCAAGACCATGAAGAAAGTATATAAGAAATAAAACAAGTGCAAGACTGCCTAGTGGAGTCAGAAGAATTCAATTCATAAGAATCGACAAATTAAGGAATATTTTCAATTCCTTAGAAAACAAGCAGGCTCTTGCTCTCTTGCTCAAAATGATATCATTTCTAAATTTTATGCTCTTAGTGCCTCTAATAGTTTTACCCCTTAATGTATCCTAGATTCAGAGGCCACCAACCACATGACAAACCTAGTCAATATATTTCAAACTTAGAAACTCTATCATAGCAATAGAAAAATAAAAGTTACAAATGGATCTCTAAAAAAGGTTGCAGAATAGAGAGAGATTTTAATTTTTTCAAATTTGACCCTCGATAACGTATTACATGTCCTGCACCTTGTAGTGAATATTTTTTTCTATTCACAAATTTACCAAAGACCACACTTCAAGAATCATATTCTTTAATGATTATTGTGTTTTCCACAATCTTACTAAGGGGAAGATGACTCGAAAGCTAGAGAAAATAATGGGTTATACTTTCTTGAAAATAGAGCTCAACTATCAACATCATTCACCTCTCATACTACTGACAACATATGGACCAAACATTATAGATTAGAACATCCTTCTTTTAAAAATATTTAGTGTATGTTTCATTCACTTTTCAGAAATACAAACATTAAAGACTTTCATTATGAAACTTGTAAAATTATTAAACATCACTATGTTTCATTTCTTCAAAATAACTTTGTATCTTCTAGTACTTTTGTATTAATTCATTATGATATCTGAGAACCCTATAAAATCACCAACATCTCTAGA